ATGGGAACTCACTTGTTTACTTCTTGGAGAGAACATTCAAAACAAATATATAAAGGCTGTACCTTCTGCTTGATACTCTCTCCTAGGACGTATAGGAAAAAAAAGAGTAGCTGTTCTCAGGTGGATTTAAAATGTTGGATTTTTTTTCTTTTCCCTTTCATTATCTATTTCATTGTATAGTTCTCTCGCTACCATGTCACTTGTCAGATAGGACTGCAAGCATCTTTCAGTGGGAACTCTAAGCTTCTTTTGTTCTTGTTTGGTTTTGCTTTGCTTTTCTACGGGGCCTAGCAGGGCTGAATCCTGATGGGAACTATTGATGAACCACAACTTAATTTTTTCTAATATAACCCTACTTACAGATAATGCAATTCAAGAGACAACATAACATCTGCCCATAACTACCTTTTGATTTGTTTGGCATTCCCATTAACTTTGCTTACCCTAAAGAGGTTTATAGCAGAAAACCAGCAAAGATGTCCCAGTAGATCTAAATGTGACACAAATACCAGAATTTCCTATTTATGTGTGATTTTGTGTGTGTGTAAAATGGGTAATGTCTACTTTAAAAATCCTTTCCAGTCTTATCAATGCTTTTTCTTATGGTATTGTTCTGTTATTCTAGGAACTAGCATGACATTACATTTATTCCAGGCAAAATACTATGGTACATTGATCTATATAAAAAAAAAATTATCTAAAATAAATGATGTTAATATTACAGGATTGGTTAGACACGTACGAAAACCTCCCCACTCTCGTTTCATTATATTGACATCTTCCATATGATTTGCTCACACTTCATTTCTGAAACAAAGCATACCTCATTTGCTGGAAACTAACTGTATAATTAAGTCAATATAAAAGTTATTAATGTGTTGCCAGTATTATTTTGACTTCTATTATTTCACAAAAGTCACATAATTTCCTTGTCCATAAATCCATTCATAGTGTCATATTTTGACTCATGGCCAGCACTGTTCCATTCCTGGAATCTAAAAGAGCTAACAATTTTGGATGGGGATCCAAAGAATAAAACTAAGGCTAATTACCTTGTCAGTAAAACTGTAACATTAATATTATCCAAATTATATTTTTTTAATTGAAGGAGATGAAATCAGTTCGGTCTATCTGCTACGGAAATTTAAGGGTTGTTTAAATGTCTAAGCATACAGTTTAAAGGTTCAAGGCCCCATGTTTTTGAATAGTTGGCAAAAAAAGAATTTGTTTTTTTTTCCTCTCTCCTTTTTCACATGTTGTTAGGTTGGGACAGAAGAGAAGCAATCCTCATCACTAACAGCTGCTTTTTGTACCACTCAATTGGGACATCTCTCTGTGACCTGCTGGGTTCACTCCATCTCCCCCAACAGCTGGAGACTTGACTTCTCCCCTGATGCACACATAAACTTTCTAGAGAGCACTGCACATACTGCCTTAAATAAATAATTTGGAATAGACCATGAATTCTGGGACTCATTGGTGTAAAAACCAAGAAGTTGCTTCAGATGCCCTTTCAGACTCAGTGGAAAAAATTGCGCAGATTAACCTTTGTTCTCCATTTTCACTTCTTCATGCTATAGAAAAGGTGAACTCCATCCCAACCATTGAGACCATTATACCAGATGTCGTATTTGACTCCTCTGCATCTTTAGTTTAACACAGTCATACTATTTAGAAATTGTGCTGCTGCTGCTGCTTCTTTAGTTTCTACTGAATGCATCCTCTTTCCAGCTTCCATAGTCAAATGTCTTTTTAGAACTTACACCATAGTATCTTCTCTGGTCTCCTATACACACATACTTTATATTTCTTTATCTTATGAATGGCTGCTCCTAAATTCTACTCC